CAGGCAAAAGATTCAGACTAGCTAAAACCAATTTTAAAAAGAACAAAGGAAAGGAGTCATATCATTTGATTCCAAGAGTTACCATAAAGCTACAGTAATTGAGTTAGTGCTCCTGGCTTAAGAACAGATACACAGACTAATAAAACAGAAGGCAATCCAGAAACAATTAACTTGATTGATCAACCAATTTTCAAAAAAGATGCTAAGCTAATTCAATGAAGAAAAGATGATCATCCCCACAAACACTGTATAAATATTACACAAATGGACCTCAATCCCTACTGTGTACCATACACCAAAGTCAACTCCAAATGGATCACACAGAGCTACATTCAGCTGTTCTAGAAGAAAACAAAGTGGTAAATCTTTGTGACCTTGAGTCAAAGATTTCTCATAAATACATTACCCATCACAAAACAACTTTTAGTAAACTGAGTCTCATCAAACAAGAACCATATTAAATGCACATACTGGGAGGAAATATTTGCAAAATACACATGTGATAAAAAGATTCATGTCCTGAATATCAAAGGAACTCAATAAGATACAAAGCATAACCAAAAATAAACAATCTGAGTAGGCACTTCACCACAGAGGAGGTATGAATAACAAGCCTGTAAGAAGTTCAACATTATTAGTCACTATGGAACTGTAAACTAAAATCATGAGGAAAAGATGAACCATGTCTTCCTATGAGCCAGGCTCTGCCATGGCGATCAGGAAGAGACTCAGCAAGAAGATAAAGCATGCTTTCCCATGAACCAGCTGGTGCGTGGGCTGGGAAACCAGAAGAACAGCCACCCCATCCCGCTCAACTGGCTGATTCAGAGGACTGAGGTGAAGGGAACAACTCATTTGTGTTGTCTGATTGACTCTGCAGGCCTGGGGCTGGAGGTCTGGGCATCTGCTTGGACGATAGCAGCGTGCACTGTGGCAACTGTGGGGGATTTCCTCTGCCTTGTTTTTGAAATCCAGTGTTTTGTTTTATTTCTGTATGTGGTAACCTGACCAACTACTTTGAAGATAACAATATGCAGTATAACACCACTATTAAATTCCTATCATCTTATTTTGAAAACTTACACAAAACTTATTGTTTTTTGTTATTGTTTTGCTTTTGTTGTTGTTTTTTAGATTTCTTTGCTTCTTGATTTTTCTGTTTTTTCTCTTTAAAGTAAAATTTAAAAAAATAAAATAAAGTCATAAGGAGGTACCACTATGCATCTCCTATGCTTGCAAAAACCATACAAAACAAAGTACAAGCAAAGATACGTAACTATAACGCTTACATGGTAATGGCACATGTGTAAAACAGTACGGCTGTTTTGGAAAACAGTGTGGCTGTGCTCTAGATTGACTGTCCCCTTGTGCTCAGGCTGAAACTTAACGGCTGCTCCCACAGTATTTGGAAGTAGAAGCTGGATACAGTGGTACACATCTGTGATCCAGCACTCTAGGAAGCTGAGGTAGGAGGATCAAAAGTTCTAATGCAGCTTAGTGACTTAGCAAGACCCTGCATCAAAATAAGAAATAAACAGAAGTAGGGAAGTAGCTCAGTGAAAAATCCCTGAGTCTAATCCCGTTCTGTAAAATATCAGAACCACTAAAAAGTGGTAAGGCTCCACGGGAGTAGTTCCTCGTAAAGAATCAACGCTGTTACCATTGAGTGCCTTTAGTATCTCTAAACTACAAAAGGTCATATGTGGCTCCATCTCTTGGCCTTTGCCCTTACACCACGCAGTTATGCATTAAGAAGGCCCTCATCAGAGACCAGGCCCTTGATCTTGGACTTCTCAGCATCTTAAACCAGAAAAACAAATTTATTCTACGGTCAATGGTTAGGTCAGCAACAATATTCTATAGCAGCAGCAACGAAAGGGACAAAAACAGCAGGCAGCTACCTTCACGATTAAACACACACTTATTACACAGCCTAGCATTTTTGTGGTTTGTTGTTGATTTAAAAAGATACGTATAATAGTGTTACTCATCAGAACGAAAAACTAGGAACAACTGAAAATATCTACCAACTTACAACTGAATAAACAAGATAATGCAAGTTCATACACTGAAATATTACTCAACAATAGAAAGATGAACTGCTACTATGCACAGCACAAATGGGCAACATAACATGATGTTAAGTGAAAGAAGGCATTTTCTCTCTTTTTTTTTTTTTTTTTTGGTCTTTTTGAGATAGGGTCTCGCTGTGCAGTTCAGGCTGGCCTTGGGCTTACTATGTAGCCTAGGCTGGTCTCCAACTCGCAATGATCTTCCTGCCTCAGTCTCCTGAGTGCTGGGATTATAGGCGTGAGCCACCATGCCCAGCAAGAAGGCATTTTCAAAAGGCTAACTTTTTTATGGTTCCATTTATATGATTCCATTTATATGCCGGAAAAACTAACATTACAGAAGCATAAATCAGACTGGTGGCTAAGAGGGGCTGGGAGGGGGACTGATCTCAAAATGGCCTTGGCTCAGTGCAAAGGCCCAGGCTTCCAATTCCAGTATTAAAAAAAAAGTTCTATATCCGGACTTGTCAAAACAGCAATGCAACTGTAAGATTTGTAAAAACGCACTGAAATGTACTTCTAGAAAGCTTCCTGCAAAAATAAATTATGCCACAATACATCTGACTTAAAAATGCCTTTCAAACTAATGGCAATGAGACACTGTAACACATAATTTATGAAATGTGGCAAATCTGCATTAACAGCAAAATTAATAGCTTTATAATGCTTTTATTAAAGAAGAAAACTCAACGCACTAACTATTTCTCAAGGGAAGAGAAAGCCAAAGAGGTTTCTCATGAAATCAAGGAAAAGGGAGGTCTGGGCATGCAGCTCAGTGGTGGAACCTCTGCCTCGCAGGCCTGAGACGGAAGGACTGGGCTACGTGACGGGGATCTCCTGTTAATCTCCTGCCTCCGGTCACGCTCACCTCCACCCACAAAGGCCTTTTTCTGCGCTCTCTGCTGTCCTGCTCCTCCCCAGAGGCTTGTAAGGCTGCATTTCTCCTGGGGCCCTTGCTCATGCTACCTTCTCAGTAGGGATTCCTGACCACTGCGTTCTTAAGCAGTACCTTCCATCTCCCATGCTCTCTAATCCCCCTTCCCTGACTTCACGCTCCCCTCAGCACTTACTACCATCGGACCTCCCTGCCCAGCACAAGCAAATGGTCATCTTCTCTAGAGGACGGCACTTCCATTCTGAATCTACAGAATTCCCACACATACTTTCCCAAAAAAAAGGAGCAGCGCCAAGGAAGAATGCAACCAAGTATACAAGAAAATGGGGTACCATGGTAGAGAATCAACAGAAACAGCAGAAAGACACCTGCAAGGACATCAGATAAGCTGATGAGATCTTTAGAAACTACCACACATGTAAGGAGAAACTACCCAGAACACAGCAAGGTAAGAAAAACAAAACAACCAAGAATGTGAAGGCAGAGTGCTAACATGAAGCTACATGGAGAGCTAGAAGAAAAAGGAAAGAGACACTGGCAGTGTCTGAAGCAATTATGACTGACAATTTCCCAGTGTTGAAAGACACCAGTCTTGACCCGAGAAGCCTAACTAACCTATAGAGTGTAAAGGACACGTCCATAACCAGCCATTTCAGGTGGCACTGCACAGCACCAAGTCACAAAGAAACTTCAAAGCAGGAGAAAAGCAAGAACCCAAGCTTTCAAAGGAGTGGAGCTGCTTTACAGCACCAGAAGACAACAGAATGGTGTCCTTGCTGCCCTAGGGATGTGACCTCCAGGGAAGGGGAAGCTATCTTAGGAGGCTGAGGACAAAAGGAAGACACGTGAGCATTGGGAGGGTCCCCGCGCAGGCTTCCTGCAGGGCCTCACAGCTGCCGAAGGAAAGCGTCCTAGCGAGGGGAGGTGTGTGTGATGTGAGAAGAGGTGAAGACAGTGGAGGGTCCCAACATACCTGCTGCCCCGAAACACATGACAACAAATGCCAGAACTAAAACCTAGGACATGCGTACACATTTAGAGGGACACTGCTATGGTTTGGACACGGGTTTGAATGTGTTCCTCTTGCTTTCATGTATTGAAACTTAATCTGCGTATTTAGGTATCAACACAGTGGACGCCTGCTCTACCTACGGTGTATAAGAGGCTGAGCCTTTTGGAATGACTGGGGTTAGAGGAGGTCACTGGGGTGGCACCTCCTTGACTGGAACCTGGTGACTTTAGACAAGGAAGAGAGCAGAAGAGACACCCATATACACATGCACCCAGACTCTGCCTAAAATTCCAGTGATCCTCCTGCCTCAGCCTCCCAAGTGGTAGGATTATAAAAATGTCAACTTCTAACAATCTTTTACTTTGGATGGAGTTTTAAAATAGTGTTCCTCTGTTATCAGTAATGTGTAAACAAACAAATAGTGTTCTATTTTGAGAAACAATAAACATAAGGCCAGAACTTAAGCTGTCACCTTAGTACCCTGGAATGAGATCTGCTCATGAGTTTATGAAAGAAAAGTCAAGAATGTCTTTTAATATCTGTGATTCCAGCATTTAAGAGACTGAATGCAGGAAGACTATATCTGAGGTCAACCTGAGCTACAGAGTAAGACCCTGTCTCAATTCATGAAAAGGAGAAACACACTTTGCCTTGTTACCTATCCAGCCTCTGCGCTATACCACAGTCAGCCCTAACTTGTTCTTCCTAAATTGACAGAGAGAGGAGTAAAGTAACCTAACTGAGCTTTGAATTAGCCTCAGTGCAGCTACAGAAAAGTTAACAAGAAACTGAGAGGCAAGCCCGCTCACTACGACAAACTTAAACACTTACAGACAAGTTTATTTATTTTGCCACTGATAAAATGTCTTCTCCCACAACGTTAACAATGCTCTCGAGGTTTTTCACATTCAATCATTTAGAAGATGACAGAGATAAAAATGTGATGCCAAATAGGTTATTAGGATTTATTATTCATGTGAGATTTTCTATATGAAATATTAATGGCCGAAGTCCCACGTACCTGAATATTCTCCCTACTCCAAGTGTGCGGTGTTTTACTGGCAAGTAATTTCAGATCTTGAATAGCAAGTCTCTTGACGGCTTTCCTGGGATCATTCTTCAAATACTGCAACAGGAGCTGAATCTACAGAAGAATTTAAGTCAAACCATGAGCAGTATTGTCACTGAAATTATCATTAGGATGCAGTGTTGTTGGGGAACGTTTAGATCTGTGGTAGGATTCCTTTCAAATCGGAGTCACTTACTAGCGATGGGCCCGTGTTTGAACCTTTCTCCAATATGTAACGTGCCACTTAACTGGCCCTTATCATAATCTTAATCCTTTCTTTACTGACAGCTTCACATCCTGCTACAGATTCCTTCAGGGCTCCCAAGAATATAAACAAAGAAAAGGAAATTCAAGTGATTGATCTTTACTGGAGAAAAGGACCTTAATGTTACCAAATGTACAAATTACTTCCTTATTTTTTAATCATATATTTAATAGGCAAAGTTACTAAAGTTACCTGCTTGGGTGTGTCAACCAGAGATGAGGCTGCAAGCAGAGTGAAAGTGTGCAAAGAAACGATCACCATCTTGGTGGAAGGGTAGGCTGTGACCAGCTGCTGCAGGAGCTGCCGTGCGCTGGAAGCGAGGATGGCGTCATGGTGCATGTGCTGCAGGATGGGGATCAACTTCAGCTTCAAATCCACCGGGGTGGCCAAGCCTGGAGACAGGAAAACTTCTGAGAGGTTTCTGTCACTGAGGACAGCTCATATTAAAAGGCTGACTCGGTCAGCAAAACGCCCATTTAAAAACAAGGCATATACTAATACATTCACAAGCTTGTAACATTAAAGATTATACTAGAACTAACGTGGTTCCAGTTTTCCAAAAGTATTTACCTTAATATGTGACTACACACAGATGGCAGAAAATTCCATGAAAGACACTAGAAAGTAGTTATATTTGCTTCCCATTTCTTCTCATGTATGAAGACAACACACCAGTATGCACGCACAGTACACAAACAAGGTTGCGAAAAGGTGTATACATTGGGAAAAGAAAGCCCATGCAAATACTTTAATAGTGAATGTACTGAGACATCATGAGATTAATACAAGTCACTTCTGCCCTCTACAATCACAACATGCTCAAACCGGTGGCCGTTAGCATCTAGACATTTAGTAGCATGGCAGTAAACTGCTGTAGCATGGGTGCATCTTTTTGGCACACTCTGTATATGCAAACACACCCAAGGAGCACAGTTTGATTACATAAACAATGACTTGTTTTCTTCAACAGCTCCATCAAGATTAAGGTAGGAACAGACCGTGCAGAATGGCTCAGATGTTCTCTGAGTTTACTTTCCCTTTCACGGCTACAAGCCATGAGGGCTAACCCCAGTACATCTTTTCTTGTCAATGCCAGAGTTAAACAAAAACACCACCAAAAAATCTTTTTCTTCTGTGGCAAGGCTTTGTGGCACTAGAAAACAAACATTTCTCCACTGAAACACACTACACACACGCCACGAGCCATCTGGCATTCTGTACATCAGCTTCCACTGTGCCTGCCGGTACGAGTGTCAGGGAGTGGACCACTGGGCAGCAAGCACCGGCTCCTCTCCTCAGGCCCCCTTGCTATTTGGGTTTGGCCACAGCAAACAGCAGCACTGAGAGACAGGAAGGAGAACGAGGCCGGTTTACTGCCTGGTTTCTTCCCTGTGGAGTCACATGCTGCTCATGTTGTCCCATTACTTTCTTAGGGTGCTGAATGCAGCTGACACTGGCAACTACTCTCCCAATGGCTTCTGCTTTTTCACTCTTCTGGTTTCTGAGCCCTTCCTCCAAGGCTCCTTCTTAATCCCCCTTCTGGGTCTCCTCCGCTGTCTACAGTTAATTTCTGGTGTGCCACTGAGCTGGTGGTAAATTTCTGTCTCAACCTTTGTACTTCTCTGAGCTGAGAATCTCTTGGCCTCAGTGACCAGCTAAAAGATTGCCAAGGACTGCTGCCCACCCGCTCTTCAGAGGCACACATCCCATTACCTCCTGCTCACCCCCAGCAGCATGCAGCAGAGCCTTTGGTACTTAACAGGGAACTGCTTAAAGGGAGCTTCTGATCTGTACCCCAAACTGCCCATCCAAAATGATTGCACCTTAGCAAGTGACAACTGTGCGAGCATAGTCCTCAGGCTGTGGAGTCTTTTTCCATTTCCTTCCTCTTTTCTACATCCCGCTTCAAAAATTGTTAGCAAATTTTGTTGGTGCTAACTATAAAATATAATCCAAATCTGACTATGTCTTCCACTTGTAATCACACTGACCCACCCCACCCCCACCCCGTAACTGAATTATGCAGAGCCCCCTAAGCCTTCCTGCTACTTAGGCTCTTCCCTGCGGAAGCCTCCTGTCTCACATCCCGATTCTCTCCACAAGTCCATCGTCAACCCAGCAATCCGAGGGATTCTCTGCCAGTTTTCGGACATCTTAAGGATTAAGACTTCAGGCGATTCAGAGGTTCACCTCTGCAGAAACAGATGCAGCTTAAACATCAGACGCCCGCCTCCTAAAACTCCTCTTTTATTTCCGTATCTTAGGTCCCAGTCTTCCTCTACCCTACCCACATCCTGTGTCTTCTTTCTGTTCTCACCTAAGTCTTGTTCTTGTATCTACTTACTTTGAACCTAAAGTATTTGTTGCAGTTCCAGTGCTGAGGACTAAACCCAGGACCTCATGCACAACAGGCAGACATTCCACCACTGAATCACACCCCAGACTTACTTATTTTTAGATAAAATTCAAAGAATAACATAACAGTGAAGTTTAAGCACAGATCAATGAATTTCTCCATCTGAATAAGCCTATGTAATCACCACTCAGACATACGAAGCTCTCCAGCACCCCAGAGACTCCACTGTTGAACCTACATCCACTCCCTTGCTCTCTGCCCTGTTTGAATTCAGCAGCGCAAAGGCCCAGCACAGGTGAGGAAGAAGAATAAGGCCACAGCATTTAGTCCCTGGTCCCTCCTCTGTAGGGCCACACCACACTCACAGGAGTTCAGATTCTCAAAGCGGCCCTCTGGACATGACTGCAAGCTCCCAGTACCCACTCCTTTCCCTGGGCGCTGAAGGTGGAAAAGCTGTCACCAGACTAACAGACTGATTAGCCTCCACATTAACCTACCTGCAGTTTAGTGTACGGTTCCTTTCTCAACCGCTCCTCAACTGATCCTCATCCAACTACACCACCTGCCTCCTGAGGAGATCCTGTCTAACACAGTAGGCTTTAATAGGTGCTTCCTCAATGACTGATGCTTTCTCCTACAATCAAGACCATCTGCAGGATGCCTTCTTGTAGCAGAAGAAAATGAGTTAAGGAGAATAGGGTAAAGCTCAATCACATTATCTTGGTCTTTGAGTGATTTTTTATTTGTGCAAAGTGAGCATGTTTTCTTTACTTTTACGTGGAAAGAATTAAATGTATGCAAAATTAACTACAGAAAGTCATCTTAGGAAATGATGATAATATAGTGATTAAAAGTGCAGTCTTCAAAGCCAAACTGCTACTGATCAACTGGGTGACTGGACGAACGGCTAAGCTTTGCTGTGGCTCTGCTTCCGCCACCGTAAACTTGATCTAGCAGTGCTACCCAACAGTGCTACCTACCCAGGGCTGCCAAGCCGCACAATTCACAGGAATGCCATGTGTAAGAACACAAAGGAAGTAGTTGGTGTTCTCTAGAGCTGTGCAATGCTGCAGCCCACAGCTGCCTTTAACAAATGTTATAAAGATAAATGGGGCAACACAGGAGGTATGATTTAGTAGGTAGAACTGGGAAACTAGAGCTCGGTAGACTACAGCAAGGAATTTGCATTTGATTCCAGTAACAAATGGAAGACACAGGAGGGACAGTGGCAGGCAGAGCCCAGAGCTCCTAATGACACCAGCCTCCCTCGGGTCAGTATGTGCCTCCCGTGTGGCACGGCCCACACTTCTTCCTTCCTGTCCTATTTCAACAAAGACGTGAAATGTATAAAACAGACAAGTCCACTAGCAGCCTGTCCTCTACCCCTGGGATTCTCTCTCCTTTCTATCTCACATTTTCTCCCCAGCACCTAACTGTTACGTCATATCTCTGCACTGTCCACTCCACCCCAAGTATATGAGGGCAAGGGATTTTCCTGGCAGTGGGAGATGTTTAATACATATTACTCAAATGAACAGTGATTAGCACAAGGGAAGCACTTGATGAATGTCAGCAACAATTATTATTAGGAATCCTGCTCAGTTAGATCTTTTTACTATATGAACCATACATACCTTGAATCATTTCACTGATTTTGTTACATATTCCTACAGCAAAATCCCTATGGGAAGAGAAAATGGTAAAAACTTTTAAAACCAAAACAATTAACTTTGCTTAAGTTTTCTAAGGAGCTGACACAAAACACAGCTGGCACAGAAGTCATGCAATATTCCAAGTCATAACTAATTTTCCAAAGGTCAAGTGTTTAGGAATTTGAGGATGCTTCGCAGGTATCACTTAGAATCAAGGTTACCGTTATCAAACATGATGCTTTAAGATATATTTTCCTTTAAGAAGAGCTTTTGGCACACAAGCTATGATCATATAACCACTAAAATCAATTTCTAACATTATGAGTTTTAGCAAAAGTGTAGGGCATGAAAATGTAACAGGAAATATGAATAGAATCTTCTTCTGAAAAGCGAACTGAGGGCAACCCACTCAGGACCCTTTCTCTCTCTTTCGACAGAAGTTTTCTTTCTCTCAATAAATATTTCTGCTCTTAAAAAAAAGCCAACCAAGTTAGGCATGTTTTAAATATGCAATACTTGTATTTTCCAAGGTTCTTTTGATTTTATTATAGTATAAAAATATGATCTGACTTGGAAAGGTTAGAAAAGTAAATACCTGAGATAAAGTATTATATCATATAGAAAGAAATGACAGCGATGATAAAATGGCTAATTTAGCCATAATAATCATGAAAGAATTCTCTTCTGTAGTTCAGTGGAAGTCTAAACGAATTATTTTCTGCCATTCAGATATTATCTGTTGTTTCAATTTCCCTGTTCCCCACATGAAGTGGGGTTCTTCAATGGCGCCACAACGCCAGCCTTTGTCAAGAGCAGAGGCAATGCACGCTTTCTTTCCTCACTCCATTTTTGCAGAGCTAGGACTGAAATCCCAGGGCCCTGTGTGTGCCGGGTAAACGCTCTGCCACGACCTCCATCCCAGCTCTTAGGAATTCTTGAGGCAGTGGGTTTAGTGTATAACACGCGCTCTGAGATTAATTCAGTTTGCTGTCAACTCCTCTCTGATGCTTTTCTATCTTAGATTTTATCCATTATCTCTGTGGCCTTATCAATCAATACATCATTATTTTGAAATTCTAAAGCTTTCCTACTACTTACTAGAAACACTTCAAGTATGCTTGGTCTTGCTTTACAGTTCAAATTTGAAAATTCTCCACAGTTACATAATTTTGCTTCAGAATTTAGCAGTATGTCACTTTAAAGCCAAAGGAAGTTTATCTGCAGTCTCTCCCTTATGGTTAATGGTGGACTACTGGTTTAAGAAATCAGAAGACTTGTTTTCTCAGCCCAAAGTTATATTATTTAGATCTAGAGATGCTGAGAAAGATGACACTGACGTATCTGAGGCTTCTCTAACTCAGAATAGGCAAGAGTCTATTCTAAATCAATGGCAAAGCTATAAAGAAGAATATGACTAAAGCTAGTCCTTTCCTTTACAGATACTAACACTCTAACCCACTGTGCTTTATACAACTAGATATTTTCAAACAATATGGTACCAGTTAAGTTTTGGCTTCATCTTAAGACTTTAGAATTAATGAGCTGGGCATGGTGGTACATTCCTGTAACTGTAGCACTCGGGAAGCTGAGGTAGGAGGATTGTTTTGAGACAAGCCTGGGCTACAAAGTGAGCCCAGGCCAGCCTGAACCACATAGCGAGACCCTGCCTCAAAAAGACATGAACAAAACAAAAAAACCCCAAGACTTTAGAATTAACAACAATCAATGCGATGTACTTCCTCTTTGGTGGTCCTAGGAATTGAGCCCAAGGGTGCTCTACCAGTAAGTGACTTCCATAGCCCCTTTTTTATTTTGAGACGTGGCCCTCAAACTTGCAACTTTGCTGCAAGATGAACAGCTGAATTATTATGCTACTGAACTCTGCTGTGATGTGCTCTTTAAAATAAAAAATTACTGATCATGGCTTTTCAAACTAGAAACGATGGAAGGATTAGTAATCCAAGTGCACTTACTGGAGCAGCCCACTGGCACTGGCTGGGCAACTCGGCGCTGACCGTGCTGACTACAGTGAAAATCGGTGAAAAGCACTGCTGCTTTCCAACACCTGTTGAAGTTCGGCTGCCAATATAAGAGCGACCAGTAGCCCATCTGCAGAATTTTATTTCTGCCTTACAAAGGGACAAATCTGCAGATGTGGCTAGATGTTCTGTTTTGCTCGTAACTGTTTGGTATCAGCAATACTTCATCATAGAATACCTTCCTGGATATGAATTCCTGACAACAAACACTATTAAAGTATCATGCTTTATCTTGGACAATGGCATTGACAATTTCAGCTCTGTTAAAAAGGCAACGATGGGACTGACGACTTAGATAAGTGGCAAAAGCACCTGCCAGGCAAGTGCAAGACCATGAGTTCAATCCCCAGCACCCAAAAAGAACAACAAACAAACCAACAAAAATCTGAACAAACAATAAAAGCAATGATGGTTAATTTAAAAATTCTGCAACTTAGCAAGACCGAAGATTGTGGTTTCTGTATTATTCAGTACCATATACTCACATTTAAAAAATTCTTAATAAAGCAGAGAAAAATTACTAATTTTATTAAATCTCAACTCCTGGGTCCATGTGCCTTTACTATTCTCTGACAAACTGGAATGAACCATAAAGTGCACAGGGCCAGACTTCACAGAAAGTTGCAGTGTGCTGCTCGGCTGATGGCAAGACCTAGTCAGTCTTCCAGGGACATGGAGGTTTGCAGAGCGGCTACCTGGCAGACACTCTGGAGAGATGAACGGAGTAACCTTGCAACCTGAAGGCCAATAATTGGGAGCATTTGTTGTCAATGACAATTTATTTGAGCCTACCTTCTGAAAAATTATACAATTTCAGAAAACTTCTATTTGTCATCATGAGCTTGGAGACTTGACAGTTAAAGCCTTTTCTGATAAAACTGGTGGTCACAGGAACAAGTGTGGCCCTCTGATACGACACAATAAAATGTGTCAACATCTGGCAGACCCGTCAACACAGCCAGCCAATATTTTCCAAAAGACCAAATATAAGCTGTTCAGTCACACCTTAATTCATAAAATAAAGGCTTTGAAAACACTGTATGCCTCCCTGTCCAGCTATGAGTCTGTGTCAGACTGAACTTTCTTCCTCTGCTTTAATCAAAATATCACAGATTTGCTGAATGCAAAAGTGGATGTGAAATCAGGCCAGACATTAAAGAGCTCTGCAAAATGTTCAACAACTGGGGCTGGGAATTTAGCTCAGCGGCATAAGCACCTGCCTTGCAAGTGCACAGTCCTGAGTTCGATCCCGGTACCGATAAAAAAAAAAAAAAAAAAGATTACAAAAAAAAATGTTCAACAATACTCCTCTCACAAAATGTGTTTCTGTTTCAGAAAGTAATTATTTTCATAGGTATTTTTATATGAACATATTATAAGTATCTTATTTTTAAGATGAATGAAGTTTTTAACAGCCATTTAAACTTCTTAGAGTGAATAGCTACACACATTGTCCACATGAACAAAAGCTCTTTGAGACTCTCAGTAATACTTCAGGAGTGTAAAGGGATTCTGGGGACAGTTTCAAAACTACTTTTCTAAGAGCTCTGTCTCGTAGTTACACACAAAAGCTGTAACACATTTCTGAAGGATAAGGGGAACAGTCACACTGGTTAACAGTGAAGGCGAAGCTTTTAGAGTTCAGTGACAGAAATGGCCTGCATGGCACGGGTGACACTGCCACAGTCACATGCTGGCCATCCCGTCTCAGCCTCACTCCTGCCTGGTCCTCACTCCGCCCTAACCCGAGAGTACCTCAGAGGCACCTCCTGCTCACACTCAGGCTCAGCTCCCTGCCGGCTCTGCACCCAGGCCGTCACCACGCCCCCTTGCACTTTTTCCCACTAACATCTGAAATTATTTTGTGTTTGCACAGCAACAGGGCCTCACCTTCTTCACCCTGTCTTCCTGGCGTTTTGAATAATACACAGACGTGCTGGCTCCTCAGGAAGTACTTCTTCACTAGTTACATAAACTCTTTCTACATCAACTCAAAATCTGAAAGTTTGTGACAGCCTTTGTTGTCAATAAACAGCAAAACTTACACTCCGGTTTCTCTTCCGATCCTATAAATCTTCTGCCTTTTTAATACACAACAAACCTGAAGCCTATAGATTTAATGTAATAATGCTTTTTAGATTCTTAACATCTACATGTAAACATGGTGAGACAAAACAGAGCCATCTGCTTGTCCTCCCTGCCACACTCAAACGCCTTCCTGCCAGACCTGACCACAGTGGGAGGAGGGCAGCAGGCAGTGGGCGGCAAGCCTGTTCTCTAAGAGCAGCTGCTCCAGGGAAAAAGGGGCTCACAGACCCATGGGTGCCAGTGCGTCCCCCACTGCCCATGGTGGCCGCCCGAGGGCTCTGTGCTGACAACTGCTCGCCAAAATTGCATCTGATCTTAAAATAACAAGTTAGGTGTCCTTATGGTAGGGGAGATGGGAAGAACACGATGAAGTATGCTTTTATCCTGTAAAATTATCAGGTAAAACTTCTCCACGCTAGTAACTTTTAACAAGGAAACACACATCTACTTTTAAAAGCATAAGAAATACATTCTTAAGGTTTTATTTGGCTAGCTGCTCTGATCTGTTTAAGATTCAAATTCACAGAAATACCAGATATGTGCTCTCAAGCCAGGGCAGTATTTCTAGAGGAACAGGTAAACACTGATCTCAAAAATATGTTTAATTAATTGTATACTTTCATGTGTTTAGATAAGTCCTTTGGGCTTTCCTGGTGGGAAATTTATTAATTTTTATAATTTATTAAAATTATAAATTTATAAATTTATTATGTTTTGTATCACAAATCCATGTGTATCCTACTGATATATGATATGCTAAAACTGAGTCTACCTAAACTATAATTTATGTGTTTATAGGGTATCCGTTCTGTAAATGAAGAATCTTATTTCTATGTTAGTCTCAATCATTTTCCAAACGGACCAGAAATCTCATACAAGAAATAAAATTAGATCCTGCCATGAAGAACATAATCATTATGTAATCCAAACATGTACTAAAATTTTAAAAACCCTGAAAAATAAAAATAGCTTCTGATAACAATAATATAAAGTATTTTCTTAAATTAAATTTGCTGGGCATGGTAGTGTATGCCTGTTAATCTCAGCACTTGGGCTGAGGCAGGAGGAGAATTGCATACAAAGCCAGTCTGGGCTACACAGTGAGTTCAAGGCCAGCTTGAAGTACAGCGAGCCCTGTCTCAAACAAACAAACAAACAAACTAACTAACTAACTAACTAAATTTAGAACACAACCCCTGGAGTCACTGGATGCACATATTTAACCATTTGCTGAGGGACTCCCGCCCCTGACACCTTGGCAGTGGCCATGAGACGGTGCTGGTTCACAGGTAAACATCACAGAAATGATTCCTGTTCGCAGGTAAATTTTCTCCACACTTTTAACAAGGAAACACACACCTACTTTTAAAAGCATAAGTAGAAATTGTATTTACTCAGTTATTTCTCAATCACTAAAATACTTAATTCTGAGGAATGAAAATAAGAATTACACGAAGGTTTCTAACTCTTCTCTTCCAATGAGTAATCCTAGGGATTCTTAAGGTTTGAGAAAAGCATCTGAAGAGAAGAACATTTTAATTATAATTAAAATCATAGATGGCTGGTAATTATTTCAAGTTTTATCACATGTAGCTGAGAATCTTAATGGAGTTGCTATTATTTACCTGATTATAAAACTAAAACTAGTTCATGGCAGGAAACAGGGAGATCTATAAAAAGAAAATAATTACGTAACAATTTACCACCTTGCAGCAACATTTTTTACGCCTATCCTTTCCGTCTTTTTCTACCCCATAAATACACGTACTTGTGGTAAAGTCACGGTGCTTGCACTGAGTACCAGTAGCCACCCCTAAGCTGACTCCCTAGGCTAAGTTCTGCCACGGGGGCTTTCTGGGTCAGACGGCTTTCCTCATGGGTCACCAAGGCTTCGCTTCTCTGACATCGTGAGTCAGGGGACAATATTATACTTTTTACAGAGAGTCACCTTGCAAGTCTAACGTGGTAAGAAAACATGGTCAACATTTCATTCAAAAAAAAAAAGAAAGAAAGAAAGAAAGAAAGAAAAGAATCTGTTCTGCAAGGTAACAATGTACAATGTAACATGTTGAACAGTTCTAAATTGGCTTTAACCCAAATTACCAATCACCATGTTTGGCAAAGCGAACACGGCTTAGACGCCCACCAGCTGCACAGGAGGACACAGGACGGAGCAGCAGCACTTCAGCTCTGCGCTGAGCGTGACAGGCTCCACAGGACAGCACTGCCGCCGATGCCGAGTAAGCCTTCCAGCCTCCCTGCGTTGCCCTATTCTTTGGCAAACTACTTTTGCCCCCAAGGGTTCCAGGTCATGGATTTCAGCCTTGTTTCCTCAACATGCTACCCGGCCTTTCCCCCAGAATCTTCGGTGTTTCCGTGCTGATCAGGGATTCCTTAACCACTCTACCCGGGAAGCCCTGGTGCGGGAGGCCCGAGCTCACTTGGACTGTGCGGAGAAGTTGGCAGCAGCGAAGACAGCGGCTTCCACCTCCACGTTATCGTGTGAGTCCAGACTCTGCCGGATGCTGTGATGAGCGTTCTTCCGCTCGGGAATTATGGACGCCAGACTTCCCAACATCCTACCAAGACAGAGAGACCAAAGAAGAACGGAACACAACAATCTCAGGGTCAAGAAAGAAGAAACAAAGTAAGGTGGATTATCAAAACTTAAGTTTGAAGGGCATTCTATAAATTTCAGGCTAATAAATTCTAACTTTAGGAATTAAGCAGTGACTCAAATTCTAACCACATCCACACACTTCAGTGAACCAGAAATATTAAAATGGATATTCCAACACAAGCAAAATTGCTAAAAAGCATCTTGAAGTACATCCCAGATATCAAACAAGGCCCAGGAGAGAAACTTTTGAATTATTAAAGCACCAAGATATCAATTTTCCAATGCTGCATAAAGAAGTGCATTTAAGCAAAGCATTACGAATACAAGTTTTGCTATTAAGCAGATTACAAAGTAAAACAGCAAGACTTCTGCAGTCTGTGTCCCCACATCAATACTAGTGGGAGGCTTCTCAAATCCATGGGAAACTGCAATGTACCAGAGGCGGACAGTGCCCCCTGGGGCTCATACTAGGATCTGCAACAGCCAGGAAAGTCATCAAGGAAACTGGTTCACTTTGTAACAAAATTGCAATTTGGAAAACAAAAAAAACCTATTCTTTATATTATAAAGTACAGAAAAGAAAGATGGAAAAGTGCTTTCTGCAGAAAGGCTTGGATTTTACAAAGTTGCAAACAAAAAAGTGAAATGAACAAAACCTACAGTGTTCTTACAGTAAGGTCTCTTCACAGTTAACATCCTAAGCAACTTACATCTGACATGCTTTACCTACTGTAAGAATAGTCAATCATTTCAACACAAGCAGCTGAATCAGTTTCAAAAGAAAATTTTCAAATTATATTTATTGAAAGAAATAACAAATGACTATTAATCTAAAACTTCTTACTAGAAAAAATTAGACAAGGCTAACACTGATGCATCCCAACAGTTTGTGACTGTGTAGCATAACAGGATACACCGCTGGTCATTTGCTGAAAATATTTCTGGATATTTTAAAAATAACTCAGCACTACATTTTAAATACTACAGACCTCTTCTTGCTTGCTTTTCCACTTGTTGTTTTAATTTATAAGTTTATAGTAATAGGTAAAAGTTAGAACATGTTACTTTTCTCTTCCGTATTAACCCCTTTCAAAATATCTTACAAGTATTTATTTTTGTGGTACTGGGATTGAAACTGAGTCTCATGCATGCTGGGCAAGTACTTTATCACTAAACTACATCCCCAGCACTATTTTCAGGCAACGTCTTGCTAAATTGCCCAGGCTGGCCTTGAACTTGTGATCCTCTTGCCTCAGCCTCCAAATTAGCTGGGATTACAAGCGTGAGCCACTGTGCCTGTCTCTCTTTTCCAAATCACTCTGACATGGCTGGAGATTTAATACGATGGTCAGGTGCTTGTTATCAGGGGTGTAGGCCCTGGGTTTGATCTCTAGGATTGTAATGAATAAATAAAATTAAAAAGTGCTTAGTTTTTGAAAGGTATTGCTTTCACTTTTCTTCATGAGTTTCTACTTTTTAATAAATTCTAAAAGCACGTTCCTTGAGGTCGGAGTCTCACTTTATCTTCCTTAAAACAAACTGTATAGAACTGTCCACACAAACGTTCAGAGTACTTGATGGTACATCTGCCACTCATCAGCTCCCACGCCGTGCAGTCTGTTTTCCTTCTTAACGCAATCTTCCTTTGCACTAGTGCAGGACTTCTTAATGAGAAAGTCCCATTCCTGTAAGCATTAAACCCATCCTGCACCATATCTTCCTTATAAAAGATAGCACTGTAGTCAAAATCTTCATGTGGGATTAAAATACCATCAATTTCACCCTCAAACCCCTTTCAAAGTTAACAGGAACAGTGAGTTTCATTATGTGCGGAGGGCAACCCATCAACCCATCTGTCTCTCAGGAGCAGGACCTACTCCTCATTCTTTTCCCCAACAAATTTTCCTACTCTTAAAAATGTTTTAGGGCATATCTCTGCATCTTGTCATATAGAAAACAAATGAACCTGTGAAGGCAGGTGTTACTTTTCTCGTTTCACAGCAAGGAAAGCAAGTGATGAGACACTAGTTTAGTAGAAGTGAATTGGGGATGGAAATGGTTTCTGTATACTTCCTGGTCAAATTTTATCATTTGGGCCACTGTTCTCAAACAAGTTCAAAAAAATGAAGATAGTATTCTTAGAATCATAAAAGTAACAATTCAAATTATTTGTATTTTGTTTTCTGAAACACGGTCACGCTAGGCTGGAACTCACTGGGTAGTAGCTCAGGCTGGCCTCGAACTCACACCACCCTCCTGCCACAGGCGTCTCAGTGCAGCATCACAGGCATGAGCCACCACGGCCGCCTCTCTGCCCATTTTTAGAAGCAGAGCATTTTGAGAGCGTCACAGGATCAACTGAAAGACTATGTATGGCAGGCAGCTAGCTGACTCCTGGCTCAGACGCTCTGCTGCTGACTGCAAACATCTGGGAGGCTCTCACGCTCATGCAGCTTGGAAGCTGGACTCTGATGCACATATTCCACGATTTACAAGCAGAGGAAAAGGCGAAGGGATGGCAGTGTTGAGATCTGACTTAATGAAGAGTGTGAGTTATTCTGCCCCTGGCTTGCTGTGTCTGAAGCAAGATTTAGCCTATTTTGTAAATGATGTAGAAAACATGTAGCTAGGATATATCAAAACCTTCTACGACTCTGTAATAAAGAGATCAGTAACATTAAAATCTAAATAGTCTGAGAAAATAGGCAAAAGATATGAATATTTTCCAAAAGAAGATATTATGAGTGGTCAAAAGGCCACATGAAAAAGTACTTAAATCAGTACCATCAGGGAATATCAAAACCACTACACACTCATCAGAAAGGCTAAAACTTAAAAAGCTACACCATTGGCTGGGCATGGTGGCACACGCCTATAATGCCAGCACTCTGGGCTAAAGCAAGATGAGGCCAGCATGGGCTAGGCAATGAGTTCAAGGCCAGCCTAGAATCCATAGTGAGGCCCTGTCTCAAAAATAATGCTACAACACCATAAATTAGCAAAAGTGTACAGCGTACAAAACTCTCACACATTGTGGTGGAGACACAAAATAGCAAAAACATTAGAAAAAGGTCTGGAGCTTTTAAAAAGCTCAGTAGACTTTACCTATCACCCACTGATTTTACTTAGAAGAATGTATTTACCAGAAAGGAATGCATTTCGCAAAGTCAGAAAGTTCAGAGCAGCTTATTTACGAGCATCAAACTAGAGTGCTCATCAGTGAGAACAGATGAAAAACCAACGCTACATTCATACAGTGGGAACCACTCAGCATTAAAAGAATGATTACTGATATATACGAATTAATCTCAAAACATGGTGAGTACAGTACGTCTACTCAAAAGATAGCTATGGCAGGAGTCCATTTACATTCAGTGTGAAAATAGACAAGAACTATCTATGATGGTAGAAAGCAGCAGAGCAGAGGTCCCCTCTGCGGAGGTGAACATGAGCAGAATCTTGGCAGGGGCAGACGGGCACTTTCTGGGGTGATGGTGAATCTTATCTGGAAAACAGCTGAGGTTTATGAAGCATCTGGCAACACTTGTGAAGGGACACACAAGGTCTGTGCATCTCATCCTAAGTGAATTTTACATTAAAAACTGGACAACTGTGTAAACAAACTCGTATATACTCTGACCTGCTTAAGAGCACATATACCGTCTGCAATTTATTAGGAGATGCACTATGCGAATTTCATTAATGGATGGATAGACAATACGGTAAAGCAAGTTTGATGTAAGATCAATAACAGAACCTAGGTGGCAAGTATTAAGTGGTCATTGTAAAATCCTTTCAACTTTGGCCCATGTAAAAAAATTTTCACTAGGCAAGGTGGTGTATGCTTGTAATTCCAGCACTTGGGAGGCTGAGGCAGGAGGGTTACCTCAAGTTTGAAGCCAGTCTCAGCTACACATTGAATCTAGTGCCAGTCTGAACTAGTGACTTTGTCTCAAAAAACAAAGCAACTGATCAAAAAAGGATTATCCAAACCAGGGTATTAAAATATTTAGAATAACTCTAATTACGTATAAAATTCATTTACTCATTCAATTCTATTAGTCCTCTTCTTATAAAAAATAAAATAACCTACGCTTGTAATGTTATAAAGTCACATGTAGCCGGGTGGTACACACCTGTATTCTCAGTTCCTCAGGAGGCTGAGGCAGGTGGATCATAAGTGTAAGGCCTGTTTGGGCAACTTTTGACTATCTCAAAATAAAATTTAAGAAGTGATAAATCGCTTGCCCAGCATGTATGAGGTGAAGTCTTGGGTTCAATCCTATTCCCCCCACCCAAAAAAATACCCCCCCAAAACTGAAATGTCTCTTTTGTAACCCATAATCCCCCCAAATTAATTAGTTTATAAAATGTGTCCCTCTAAATTTCTTTCTCCTCGGCCTAAGAAACACATATATTAATAGTAACTGACAAAAATGAATTAAAAGGCAGGGGAATGACAAAGTACTGAACTCTGAACAGGAAGGAAGAACGGGTGCACAATGCAGGAAAAGTGACACTGGGATCTCCTGGGTAAGGGGACTGTCCTGCCAGGAGAGTGAGAAGCGAGATCTGTAATTCAGAAGAGAGAGTCTTAAACTCCATAAACAGACTTAAAACAGAGTTAAACAGCAGAATATGGTTCAGGTTTTCTGAATCCTAAATCTTATATTTTTGAATATAAATTTCTTTTTTTTTTTTTTTTTTAATTTTTATTTAAGGAGAAAAGAAAAGAAAGAAAAAAAAACAGTGAAGGGGTACAAGTTATACAGGTTTACAGAATAAAAAAATGCGCAGTAGGAAATCACTAGTTAATGGATTACATATTGCCATCTTAGAAATAATTGTTCAAGTCACAAAATTAAAGCTTGTAGAGTGGACATTCCAACAATGATACTGCAAACAGTTCTGTTCAATGATCCAATAAAACTCTGTGATATCATTTTCTATCTTATACTTTTAAATATACATGCAGTTATATAGTTTAGAGCACTTTCTTTTCCTCTCTTTTGTACAGTGACTATTACACATTTTGGGTTTCATTGCTCCCACAGTTCTTGTTGCTTTTTTGGAAGAGAGTAAAACCAAATGTGACATAACAGAACAGAATCGGTCAAGTCAAAAGGGTGGACATAATAGATAATATAAAAAACATAATACAAGGTGATCAACAATGGTTACCATAATGCCTCCCGCTATTTCTAATAGAATTGCCTATATCATTAGTTGTAATACAATTGAACAAAACCGTAAAGAATAAAACCGACAAAACCAAAACATTGGAGATATTGTAGGTCTTCAAAAGTAGATAAAAGTCAACGAGAATGGGCGTTATAATGAATCTCATTATCTTCTCAGCTGATGCCTAAACTTTCGAACCTGATACTATCCAGCAAAACAGAATATAGGAACCTCAGTCAAAAACAAGATGGTGAGAGTAATACAGGGCTTCAAATCGAGATAATAGAAAGTCAAAGTGGGTTACTATATTATATCCTGCTATATTTTTCCCTGTAGTTAAATGGATAAAAATAAAAAAGTAAATAATGGAGTGGAGATTGAGAAAAAAAGAGGGCATAACAGCGAAACAGGGCAGATCAAAACATAACCATTTAAGCAGAATAGTGTTTCACCACCAGCTAATCCTGACCCAAAAATGGTTACCATATTGACTCCCTCCCTGAAGTCCTTGAGTACAACTTCATATACTGTAGCATTAAGTATATCAAAACAATGTAAATCCATTTAAGAGAATGACAGCATTATAGAGTATTTAGAATCGACTAACAGAAAATGAACAATGGTCTCTGTATAATCTCCTTGTCTTTAAAAGGTTTTTTCTTATACTATCGTACATAACAAAATCCAATAAGCTACAACCTGTTTAGACCATTGGAGACAGAAGAACAAAAGCTAGATGAGACTTCAAAACAAGATGGTACTAAATCAGCATTACCTATTAAGATGTCATTTTCTCCAAAAAAAAAGCTGTTCCTATCATCTAATCTTCTCTGTCTCATTTCTGTTGAGCTCTTTTTCTGTCAGTAGCTGTCAGTTTGTCTTCTTCGTTTTGTTCTCTGCTCTATTCGTTGTGGCCTCCCTGCCCCTATTTCTGGGTTCTTTGTATTTTTCTTTTTTTAGAATATCCTGCAATACTTTCTGTAGGGTTGAATTGGTGGTTGCAAATTCCCCCAGTTCCTCTTTATCTTGGAAGCACCTCGTTTTTCCATCAATTTCCAGGGACAGTTGTGCAGGATATCTCAATCTTGGCTGTAGATTATTATCTTTCAAAGCTTGAATTATTTCTCCCCATGCTCTTCGTGATTTGATGGTTTGTGAAGAGAAATCTGCTGTAATTTTGATGGGTCTTCCCTTGTAAGTGATCTGTTTCTTGTCTCTTACAGCTTTTAATATTCTGTTCTTGTATTGAATTTCTGGAATTTTTATTATTATATGTCTGGGTGTTTCTCTGTTAGGGTTGTAGGTAGCTGGGGTCCTGTATGCCTCATACATTTGAGTATCTTTACCTTTTGCTAAATTAGGAAAATTCTCCTGGATTATTTCTGTGAGTAGCTTTTGTAGTTCACTTGTTTGTGTCCCTACTTCTTCTTTTATGTTCTTAATCCTTAAGTTATGGCTCCTCTTATCATCTTCTTGTCTTTGTATTATTGCTGTGTGTTTCTTTGTTATTTTTAAGAAGTTTTTCATTTCATTCTCCCATGTTTCAAGTCTGCCCTCCAATTCAGATAGTCTGTCCTTAGTTTCTTTCAAGCTGTTATGCCAGTCTTGGGTAGACTTCTTGATTTCTTGATAGTCCCTTTGCACCTGCTTCACATACTCCATGCTTTCTCTGTTTTCTCCATCAAGCAATTCTCCCCTCTTTTTCTGTTCTTCCACTCCACCATCTGCTTTTTCCTGGGTGGTGCTTAGCATTTCTCTAACTATTCTGCATACTTCTAGCTTCAGGTCATTGATAACTTCATTCCTGAATTGGTCTATGAGGCTCTCTAAATGGCGCTTAATGTATATTGGTACAGTGTCCACTATTGCCTGATTCTCAGGATTGGGGGTCGAGGAGCCTTTTTTGTTGCTTCCCTTCCCCATATTTTCTGTTCCTTATAAAATGTAATCTTACACAGGAGGCCCGGCTTCCCTGCCTGTCAGCTACAGCTTGATCGAATTGCGCTGGCTAGTTGTTCCAGCTCACCGCTGCGCCCCAGGGAGTTGCGGAGGAGGCAGCCTACGCGGAAGTCGGTCGCTCCTCCGGGCCACCGTCAGGCTCTGGGATCTGGGCTAGGCCAGCCTAGGGGGTCCGCGAGCAGCGTCCCTCCGGCCAGGCACCTTTCACCAATCCCGTCCGAGAGGGAACCGTGCGGCTGCAGTTGCCGCCGCGCCCTGCTCTTACAGGACTGCCCGCGCCCAGAAAATCCTCCGCTGGAGTCAGACTGCGGTAGGGAGTCAGTTCCTCGCTCACCTCGCCTCCAGTCAGCCTTCCTTCCTGCCCGTCGCGTTTCCGACTCCGTTCCCGAGCTCGGCGGTCGCGTCTCTCCTAACTGAGCCGCTGTGGAGGTAGCCGGCCGCCGCGCGGCGGGAAATCCAAACCGTGGGTTTCCAATGGCGCGGAGTCGAGCCTCCACACCGAGATTTTTCTGTTCCTATTTTAGCGCCAGGACTGTATTCCAAGTTGGATTCTCTCAGCCCAGTTTGTTCCTGAGTCAGCAGAGCATATCTCTACTGGTTCGTATCTCCTTAGTCCGCATCATTCCTGGCCTCTGAGCCGAGCCTTTAGAGAGCGTTCAGTAGTTGCTGTTGTCTGTCCGCCATGTTCTCCATAGTCCGAATATAAATTTCAATGAAATAAACTTTTAAGTGCCAAGACACTATGGAAGTTATTGTCTGTATTCTCCATTAAGTTCAAACATAAATTGTCACATGCAAAAATAAGCACATGACCCAGAAAAGATATAGGAATCCTACAGCACATAGGAAGCGCCAAAATTCAAAAGGAGCTGAGGCTAAGCTACCTTGAAATCCACCCAGTTACTTGGTCAGAACAGAGGGATGCTTCAGACACGAGTCAGGAATCTCTTAAACCTAAACACTCTCTGAGAAGTTAACTGGAAAGAATTTAGTTTGTTGTGGTCTCAACGGTCTGTCTGCCTCTTAGTTAAAAACAAATGCACACTACATAAAATGAGCACAGTAAATGTGCTGCCTCCCGGGCCCGCAGCTCCAGCTTAACCAATCTTTGGGAAAACACTAAACACATTCTCAGGCGTTCTCATGGAAAACGCTCACAGCAACACAGCATACCGGAGAGTGATGGCTCTTGCCACAGGGTCATTACTGTGAATCACCGAGAAAATCCTTTTCACAAACTCATCCACATTCAGAATCTTCTCCAAATGCTTCTCGCTTTGTTGGGTAACTTTAAGTACACATAGCCTCAGGAAATTGTTTCTAGGAAAACCAGAGAGGGGATGAATTAGGTCACTTCTGCGAAGTAATATTTAGTTTGGGATTAAGGCAACACTATGGATATTGAGTTTTATCAACAGGCAAATGGTTTTCAACCTCACCATTACCAGTCCTACCGCTAGGCGTGGCCAGGTGTCTACTTAGGGGGACACAGCAAGCATGAGCAGTTCGCTGTGCCAGCCCTCCAGCAGCACCCAGAGACAGGTTCCACCTCCAAGCCAGCCGGGAGCTGAGGGCCCCTCTTCTCTGGCTAAATCCACCATTTCCCTTTCCCTTCTAGCCAGGAGTAGGCCAGCAGTCACGAGCAGAAGGGAGTGGGACAGGAAGTGGAAGAGGAAGGAAATGGATGAAGGCCTTACATGTTTCAGAGATTTTAGGGACATGCAACTCATGTCAGAAAAGCAGCTAGGTACCTAAACCGGAAACTTCCCAAAACAATCTTTAGAAGCCATTGACTTTACCAAAAAATACATACAGTAATACAGGGTGTTCCAATGTGATTTAGTCTGCTCTCAAAGAAACTAGCACTCTGAATCAAGCACTTCATTTTTACTAGAAATGTCACTGATGTCACACCAAGGCATGGCACCACCATATGCACCCATTAGAATGGCCACTAACCACCTACTGTCCTAGTGGGAGAAAGGATAAAGAACACAACACAAACAGAAACAAGACCACTATGTGTGTTGGGAAACTGAGGCTTGAAAAAGACTTACCCAACTCTGAAGACATCAGCTAACTTGAGGAATGCAGAATTGATGAGAATGGGGAACGGGTACTTCTGGAAAAGCCTAGGAAAGCGAACCACTGCTTCACACTGTTCCCCAAGCTTGCCAGATCTCAGACCTGTCAAATCAGAGGAGTGGACAATTTACACACCTGCAACTGAAATGTAAAAATAGCAAACACCAACTTGCATCACAGGACAGCAATCACTCTTAACAATTAGGGAAAGTACAACTGTAGCGCATTCTCAAAAATAAAACCAGTATATAATCTACTAATCTGGTAAACATGCTTCATATACATAATAACGAAAAAGGATTTTTTTAAAAAGAAAACTAATTAAGGACATAAAATAAATGTCAACAAATTTAAAGTACTAAAATTATCAATTTATGTTCTCTGAATACAATGGAATTAGAAATCAATTAAGACAAAAATATTGAGAAAACTCCCAAGTATTCGGTAATTAAGCATGCACTTCTAATTAACCCATACATGAAAGAAGAAATCATAAGGAAAATTACAGTATTCTGAACAGACAAAATGAAAGGTCAGTGTACAGATAAAAGCAGAGTAGTGCTTTTTTGTTGTTGTTGTTGGTGGTGGTACTGGGGATCGAACTGACCTCCTACTTGCCAGGCAGGCACTTATGCCTATGAGCTAAATTCCCGGCCCTAAAAGCAGAGTAGTACTTTAAGGAACATTTATCACACTACACACATAATTGTATCAGGAAAGAACACCAGAATCCTATAAGTGATGTAACAAATGTGCCAACCAACATCATTCAATGTAGAAAGGATTATTTTCTTAAACCTGTGAATCTGGAAAAAACAAACACAAGGGGGAAAAAATGAGCTTCAACTCTTAACTCAATTCATATACAAAAATTAAAATGAACCTGAAATGTAACATCTAAATTTCAGGGTTAAAACTATAAATTGTGTAGAAGAAAACATAGGGAAAAATCTTTCTGGCCTTGGGTTAGCAAAGAATTTCTAGTTAAAACCCAAAAGACATAACCCATAAAAATAAATAAATAAATGAATGAATGAATGAATGAATGAATTGGGATTTCCACTAAAATTGAAAACTGCTGCTCAGGCCAGGCATAGTTGTGACCACCTGTAATCCCAGCAGCACTCAGGAGGCTGACGTAGGAGGATCACAGAGTCCAGAAGTTTAAGGCCAGCCGGCAACACACATAACAAAGCAAGCTTCTCCTCTATAAAAGATGGTGTTAACAAAAGTCATATCCTTGAAGAAAAAATTTACAGAACTGGGAGGCTGAGGCAGGAAGAACCCAAGTTTGAGCCCAACTTGGACAACGTAGCAATGCAGTGGTACTCTGTCTCAAAATAAAAATAACTGAAAAGGACCAGGGAGGTAGTCAGTGTGACAGGTTAAATCTCCAATACAGCAGAAACAAATGAACAAAATAAACAAAAGCACCTGTTATCTGACACAGGACTTCATCTGTATGTGTCATAACTCAGTAAGTAGATAACCCATTTTTTTATTTAAAGAAAGACCAAAAAAAATAGGAAACGGCAGAAATAGTACACACTTACAAAGAAAAGAAATAAACAGTAATAAATCACTAGTTGATGTATACATATTGTCCCCCCACAAATAGCTGTTCAAGATACAAAAGTGGAACATATAAATGGGAATTCAACCAGAGAGAATACAAATAGTTCTGTTCAACTATCCAACAAAAACTAAGTAATATGGCTATCAATCCTATACACTTAGACATGTACGCATTTATCCATATCTTCATTTATGCTGAGACTTAACAAAACTTAACTATTTGTTCATTTCATCATGTGTCATAAGATCAGTTCTCATAAACTGTTTATAGGTTTTACGCAAGCATGAGTCTTAACATGTATTTCTATCCTTTCTATATTAGAGGGAGAAACAGAACAAAGCAGGACAGAACTAAACATATTCCTACAGACACATAAAAGTAAAAAGACATATAAAACTGCGGTATAAGGAGTTCTAACATGGTCACTGTGCTGTCTCTTGTTATCAATAACAGATTTTGCTATAATCAGATAAAGTAAAATTGAACATATCAGTAAATAACAGAATTAACAGAAATACAATTTTGTAGATAGTGTAGAGCTACAAAATCAGGTAGTAATCAAATCAGAACGGATATTGTCATTGTCATTTTCAGCATGTTGTCTATAGTCCTCAACTTGATAACCAGCAACCTAATAGTTTTGAATAAAATCTGTCAATAATAAGCAGCAATCAAACAAGTCCGATTTAACTAATATCAGTCATGTTATAACAGTATAAATCATACAGGAATCCTGGTTAAGTTAATAGGAAATTAAAGATGACCACTGTGCTATGTCCTGATATCTTGAGGACAGCTATCTGTGCCCTCAGATCCAGGGCTTGTACATACTAGAACAGAACAAGTTCCAACCAGGCAGAGTGGTGCGAATAATAAGGGTTTTAATTCCTGATACACTATTAGCTATATCTTCTGCTGTTTTATTTCCTCCCCTTTACTCCCCCAGAATGAACTGTGTATTTTTGGTTCTTCCCAACACTCATGGTTTTATATTGGGGGGGAGGGGCAACCTGCTATTTACCTAAGTGTTTCTGAACTCTCTCACTTCTGGACTGGATTTCTAGTTATATTTCTTCATTTATTAAAGCCTGTCTGTTCAACCTATCCATAAATACTGGTCCAGTTACCCCTATTACTCTCTGGTTCCCTATCACATCGAGTTCTGTTTTCTCATATTTGATTTTGGTCCATATAACCTTCTTCAGGCTAATTATATTTCCCATAAAGAGCCTCTCAGTGGACTCTACCTCTTGATCCACTCTGCCTACGATTCTCTCTTTTTCCCCTTATGTTAGTATATCTAGGCCATCTATATTAGAAATTATATCCAACCTTCTTTGCCTCATTTCTGTTGTCCTCTTTTTCTGTCATTAGTTGTCTGTTTATCTTCTTCATTTCACTTTCTGCTCCATTCAGTGTGGCCTCTCTGCCACTGTTTCTGGAATCCTGGTACTTTTCTCTCTCTTTAGAATATCCTGCAGTACTCTCTGTAAAGTTGGATTGATGGCTGTGAATTCCCCCAGTTCCTCTTTATCTTGGAAGCACCTTGTTTCTCCATTAATTTCTACAGACAGTTGTGCAGGATATATCAATCTTGGCTGGAGGTTATTGTCTTTCAAGGCTTGGATTATTTGGCCCCATGCTCTTCTAGATTTGATGGTTTGTGCCAAGAAGTCTGCTGTAATTCTGATGTGTATTGCCCTGTAGGTGATCTGTTTCTTGTCTCTGACAGCTTTTAATATTCTGTTCTTATTTTGGATTTCTGGAATCTTTATTATTATATGCTTGGGTGTAGTTCTGTTTTGATTGTAGGTGGCTGGAGTCCTGTATGCCTCATACATCTGAGCATCTTTTCCTATGTTTGGGAAGTTTTCCTTAATTATTTCTGTGAATAGCCTTTGCAGTTCCTTTGTTTGTACCCCTGCTTCTTCATTCACATTCTTTATTATTAAGTTCTAGATCCTCTTGTCATCTTCTAGCCTTTGTATTGTTACTGCTTGTTTCCTTTAAGAAGTTTTTCCTTTCATGTTCCCACATTACAAACTTGCCCTCCAGTTCTGATAATCTATCCTTAGTTTCTGTCCAGCTGTTATGCCAGCTTTCAATAGAGTTTTTAGTTTCCTGGTAATCTCTTTGAACCTGCTTCATGTATTCTATGTTTTCTCTATTTTCTCCATCAAACAATTCTCCTCCATTTTTTTTTTTTTTTTTTGTTGTTGTTGTTATTCTTCCATTCTACCATCTGTTTTTTCTTGGGGGTATTTAGCATTTCTTTTTTTTTTTTTTTTTTTTTTTTTTTTGGTACTGGGGATCAAACTCATGACTGCCTGCTTGCAAGGCAGGTGCTTATGCCGCTGAGCTAAATCCCCAGCCCCAACATTTCTTTAACTATTCTACTTATATCTTGCTTTACTTGGTTAAATACTTCACTTTTGAACTCATCTATGAGGTCCCGAAGATATCACTTTATGTCTATTGGTGCCATGCCTGATATTGCATGTTTTGTGTTCTCATTCTCCTTTGCATTTACCTTTCCTGGATCAGTGTTCTCAGGATTGGGGACTGAGGACCCTTTCTTGTTGCCTCCTCTTGTCATATTTTTTGTTCCTACCATATAGGTGTATATAGGAGGCCCAGTTTCTTTCTTTGTCGGTTTCAGTTTGTCTGAAACGTGCTGACTAGGTGGTCCCGCCCACTCCAGTGTACTAGGAGGTGCAGACCGGGGCAGCCTATGCTGGGCCCGCCCCTTCAGGTCAATCTACTGAAGGCTTCACTGTCTTAGGGTGCACTGCCAGGCACAGGGACCTGGTTTGGGCTAGCCTATTGGGCCTCAGTCCGTGGCGTCATCCAGGTCAAGTGCTCCCCACCAATCCCGCTTGAGAGGAGAATATGTGACGGAAATCACTGCAGCACCCTGTTCCGGCCAGTCTGCCCGGTCCCAGAATGTCCTCTGTTGGAGCCTCCTACTCTATAGAAGGGCCTTTATTCCTCTCACTCACCGCAGGTTGATGCAGGATTCCCCGCCAGCTCTGCTCTCAATTCAGTTTGCAGATTCCCACTCTCAGAGCTTTCAAGTCTCCAGTGAGTTGAAACCAATTCAAGTGCGGCAGCGGCAGTTCAATCTGTGAGTTCTAGCGGCGGCACCGCTAGAACTGTAGTTGTTCCAGTTGTAGCACCTGAGCTGCATTTCCAGTTGGTTTCTCTCAGCTTAGTTCGTTCCTGGCTCGGCAGGGTATATCTGCTTAGGACTCCCCACACTGCACTATTCCTGGAATCTAAGCTGGCTATCTCAGCTGCTGTTACCTATCCGCCATCTTTTCTCCTCCCTGACAACCCATTTTTTAATGTGCAGTATCTAAAAGGAGGGAATGTGGATAGCAAATATAAACACATAAACAGATGCTCAACATGCTAGTCATCAGGAAATGAAAAGTTTACACTGTAATAAGATACCAGCACACACTTTATAGAATGGCCAAAAAAATCAGATTCAAAAAGTCTTGATAATAGGGCTGGGGATTTAGCT